CACCATTGTCTTTCTGCACACACACATAGATCCCACCTCTCCAAGCAGACAGTCAGCTCTTGAAATGCCTCCGGTCTTCCAGCTTCCTAGGGCCTTCTCAGAACCCACCTTGGTACATAGCAAGTGGTCAGCAGGTATTACTCTCTTGGCTGCTTAAAAAGGAAAGTCACAGCGTTTTGTGGGGGGCGGGGGTGGAGAGAAGGTTACTTGGTGAAATCTAGGCTGAAGAAGGGCATAGTTTATCTGGCAAACTTTCATGACTTCTTAAGTGGTCACTAACATTTAAAAATCAGGAGATTTCAAATACATTTCTAGGTCTTTTATTCCTGTGGGAGACTGGCCCGGCAGGTGAACCTGTACTCTGCAGGCAATGAGCATTCAAATAAAAAAGAAAACCTGAGAGAGGGCTTGCAGAGAAAACATGGACAGCGCATGGTGGTGCTGGTGCTGAACTGTTTGAGAATTGATCTGGAAAGCGATGGGGTACCATGGGGGGAGGGGCAGGGCTCAGCAGCGGAGGGCACCATTCAGGGGTTTGGGGGTGGTGTCAGAGGCTCGCTCTGATGGCTGGGGGAAAGAGGGATTGCGTAAAGGGAGAGGCTAGAGGGCTATGGGACAGCACCAATCCTAGGAAAGGAAGTTCGTTCTACTCGCCATCCCTGTGTTTGGCAACCAATCTAGCTCCCCAGCAGGCCAGGAGATGTACCCCCAGAGCCGAGAGAGTGGACCTGACTGAGCTCGTTCTTGGCTTGGAGGAGTGCAGCCGGCGGGCAGTGCATACGTTGTTCTCTGTGCGCCGGTGAGCCTACCCCAGTTCCTTATCAGGAGAAATGCCTTGCCTGGGAGAAGCAGGTATACATACTGTAAATGTATTCTACCTAAGCGAGCCTTTGCGTGTGGGTCTGACCCAGTGCATTCGACTGTAAACGCTTTGTGGTATGTATGTCTTCCCTGTCTCTAGGGATGGGCAGCATTTGGCACATAGTAGGTGCTCAGTGAACATTTAATTGTCCGAAATAGGGACGCTACTGTGGGATCTGGGTAGTTACACTTTCACAGCTGACCCTAAATGAGACCCATGGGATTTGGTCAGAGGCCTTAAAATTTTCAGTCTTTGTTCAGCTACTCAAGATTTCCGTGGCTGTGAATGAGCCACGTAATCTTGCCGAGAACGTTTGCTCATCTATTTTTATTTATTTTTACTTTGTATTTTATTTTAAAGGTTTTATTTATTTATTTATGAGGGAGGGAGAGAGAGAGAGAGAGAGAGGGAAAGAGAACAGGAGCAGTGCAGGGGAGAGGGAGAAGCAGGTTCCCAGCTGAGCAAGGAGCCCGATGCTTGATCCCAGGACCTTGGAATCATGACCTGAGCTGAAGGCAGAGGCTTAACAACTGAGCCACCCAGGCGCCCCTATTTTTTTTTTTAAAGATTTTATTTATTATTTGGAAGTGAGAGAGAGCACAAGCAGGGGGAGAGGCAGAGGGAGAGGGAGAAGCAGACTTTCTGCCTGAGCAGGGAGCCCGACGTGGGGCTTGATCCCAGGATCCTGAGATCATGGCCTGAGCCAAGGGCAGACCAGATGCTTAACCAACTGAGCCACCCAGGCGCCCTTGCTAATCTATTAAAACACACACACACACACACACACACACACACACACACACACTAAAATTTTCTAAGAATAGAGGAGTGCAGCTGAAGGCACTCTGCAAACGGTAAAGTACTATATGACCCAATGTAGCGTATCTATAAAATGGAACACCATCCAGCCACAGAAAGGAAAGAAGTCCTAATATCTGCTCCCACATGGATGAGTCTTGAAGACCTGATGCTAAAGGAAAGAAGCCAGACACAGGTCACATATGGCAAGACTCCATTTATACAAAACGTCAGAATAGGCAAATCCATAGATCCATACAGCAGATTAGTGGTTTCCGTGGGCTGGGGGGTGGGGAGAAGGGAATAGACTTTCCTTAATGGGTATGGTGTTTCCTTTTGGGATGATGAAAATATTCTGGAGCTACATGGTGGTGATGATGGCACACCTTTGTGAGTGTGCTAAATGCCACTAAATTGTATCCTTAAAAATGGTGAAAATGGTAAAACTTACGTTTGCGTATTTTACCACAATAGAAAAGCTCCCCCAAAAGTGCTATATGAGAGTTAATCACCTTGAGAAGCTGTTGGTTCTTATATTCTAAGCGCGGTATCCAATCCATTTTTTTTTTTTTTTTTTTTTTTTTGGCATTCAGATAACTTACAGAGTAGAGGCATCTCCACTAAGGAGCCTCTTCCTAAGAGAAAAGCTGGAGTGGGGGTGGGGGGAGGAAAGGAGGAGCACGGGGCCATCTGAAAAGGGAAGCTGGATGGTATTTGTTTCGTAGATTGCCAGTTGTTCACCCTGTTTGTATTTAAATGAAAGGAGGCTTTGAAGTGGGAGCCGCCTCTGAGCAGGGCTTGGGGTTCCTGTCTTGTGTGGTAAAGTTCAGACTTGTCCAGATCCGTTTCTAGCCAGGGGTTACTGTTTCTGGTGGAAAAGACTCAAGTTTTGGTTAATAATACATGAGCAGGAAAAACAGGAGTAAATTGGGCGGGACGGGAGTGGGGGCAAGGAATGAGTTCCCCCTGGACTTGGGAAAAGTAGCTTTCAGATTTGGGCTCCATGGTTTTTGGGAGGATCTTTTTTTTCACTTACGGTCACTGGTTTTCATTTTGTTATTACCGTGGGCTGCATCTCAGATTGTATCATCTTTGGTAAAGAACATCTTTCAGTAAATGCATCAATCAGTGAAAGTTAAAAGTGCTGGGCTAAGCCCTAGGGATAATCTGAATGGTATCAGTTTGAGAAAAAGGCAGACTAATTGAAAGTCTCTTGAAAATGGCAGGAAATTCACCTGGAGGGGAGTTTGCATATTTAGAAAAACTCCTCTGCTAGTTGCAGGGTTAAATATTCTGCCCACCCACAGAAATTGTAAGTTTCACTAATAGGTCACGGATATGTTTACCTTGATGATCTCCAAGAGTTAATAAAATCTAGAAGAGTGTGCAGTGGGCATCCAAAACAATAGCTGACCTAAGTTTCTACAACTCCACAGAGCCAACATGTCAACGTGGTTTACAAACAGCAGTGGACGAAGTCTCAACAAACCCTATGAGGGTGATAATTGTAATGATGGTTCATATCTTCACCCTATGTAATTTTATGGGAATTGAGAGTCTAGCCAAATAATAAGTTCCAGCCCCTTTTATCTGCCCAGTTCCCAGCACACTCCCGAGGTGTCTGAGGCACTTCTCACCCTAACCTCTTAAAGCAGATTGTAACAATAACAAGGGTAATGACAAGTTCCCAATCTGCACAGTTCCCTTCATTAAAGGAGCCCTGGGAGCTTCAAAAACACTCATTAATGGAATCTGACAAAGCTGGGAAGGTGGGAAGACTCGCCCATTTCCAGTTTTCTGGTGGCTAAGTGGAGACTGGGTCCCAGAGAGCTGTGAGTCTCTCTCAAGAGGCTGGAGGGCAGAAGGGGCTTGGGGTCTTGGGCTACCTTTACTCCACGTGACCTGGGAGAGTAAATCAGGGTTCTGGACCCACACCCCAGCTGCATGCTATTAGCAAGTCGCTCCCTTTCTCGGCGCCTCAGTTTCCCTACGTTTACGACGAGGATTTGGGCCAGGTTTCCAAAGTCTCGGAGGTCATCCGTGAATGTCCCAACGCCTCTATCCTGGGGTGAGGGGGGAGGGCTCCCACTTCAGGGTTTGGTTAGACTTGTAGCAGAACCGGGCGTGGCAGGGGGAAGGCGGGGGAGGAGAATGCCTGCCGGGGTTCGGAACAAGTCGGTGCTCATGGAGCACCGTTGGATGGGAAGCAGGTCTGAGAGGGCCAGGTGAAGGTCTAGTGCCAGCTGGGAGTCCGAAGTCCCCTTGTGCCTGCAGCGAAACAATGCGAGTCATGCCAGCGCCTTCCGCTCCTGGCCCAGGAGCTGTTAGGGGCGTCCTCGGGGCTGCGGGGAGGCTGGGAGGGCAGGTATCGAGGCGGGAGGGTTCCCCCGCCTTTGACCCACGGTCAGCGAGTCAGGTGGCCGCGCACAGATAGCCTGTGACTCGGCCGCGGGCTTCGGAACAAGTGCCCAGGCGCGCGGTCCCCCCAGGACTTCGGCCCTTCACCCGGGAGAAGTTAGCCCTCCCTCTTCGGGTAGGGGGCGGCGGGCATCTCCCGCCTCCCGGGGGAGGGGAGGAGGAGCGGAGGGAGGAGCCCCGCGGGGCGTGTCGCGCGAGGGAGCGCCGCGCGCCCGGTGCGGCCCCCTAGGAAGTGGATTTGGCCGCTCCGGATCCCAGCCCGCTTCCAGGTTTTCTCCCGTCCCGGCCCTGCGTGCTCCCGCCCGTCTCCGGCGCCCCCCCCGCCGCCCGCTCCCCTCCCCCTGAGTGCCGCCCGCTGGGCCAAGTTTGCCGAGCGTCGCCGCGCACGCCGGCCAGTCAATCAGCGGCGGAGCTGAGGAGGGCACAGCCGCGCGGCCGAGGGCAGAGTGAGCCGAGCGGAGCCGAGCCGAGCCAGGAGAGCGGACCCGCGCCGGGCAACCCCGAGCCGCGCGCAGCGAGCGCCCGCCGCCGCCCACGCCCTCCGCGGCCCCGGCGGCGCCTGCCACCTTCCCCTCCTTCCCCGCGCCCCTGTCCCGCTGCCGGCCGGCGCGCCCCGTCCGCCGCCCCGCGGAGCCCAGAGCCCACCGGCCCGCACCTCCGCTCCCGTGGGCCGCGCACCGCCTCCACGCCCTCCGCCTCCTCCACCCCGGCCGGGCGCCTGGCACCCGGGACCGTTGCCTGACGCGCGAGGCCCAGCTCCACTTTTCGCCCCCCGTCTCCTCCCGCTGCTCTCCCAACTCCTACCCCAACTCCCTCGCCCTCTCGCTCCGCTCGCGAGTCCCCGGCCCCGCGCCGCTCGGCCCGCGCTCGCCACTCTCCCCCGGTTCCCAGAGGTGGGACCGCGTCAGCCCCGGCCCGCACCATGGCCCGGTTCGGCTTGCCCGCGCTTCTCTGCGCCCTGGCCGTGCTCTGCACCGCGCTGCTGGCTGCCGAGCCCAAGTCGAAAAGTTGCTCGGAAGTGCGACGGCTTTACGTGTCCAAAGGCTTCAACAAGAACGATGCCCCCACGCACGAGATCAACGGTAGGTGGGGGCCCTCGGGAGGCGTGCGCGGAGGCAGGCACTCCGGGGAAGGGGCCGCGGAACCCCCGCGCGGCCGCAGGTAGCCTGGGGCGCCGGTGGGGGGGAAGCCGTGGGCAGGCGGGAGAGAGCGCGAGAGCGAGCCCCGGCGCAGCGGGGTCCCCCGCCGCCGGACCGTCTGCCATCCCGCATCTGCTCCCGCCCCACCGCGTCTTCACGGTCCCGGGGAGTCCCGAGGACTCTGGCCCGCAAAGTGCGTGTCACCGGCTCCGTCGCCTGTTCCGGGTTGAACTCCTTACTGGGCTCCCCGCTTTGTTGTGCGGGTGACGAGAGGCCGGGAGGGGGTGAGGGTCGCCGGTGGGGTGTTTGTGTGTGTGTCGGGCGGGGGTGGCGCAGCCTACAGCGTGCCAGCTTCCCCGGGACGCCAAACGTGCAACTCCAATGGAGGTTTCATTGATGTTCTTTTAAAAACCCTCTCCCCGCCTCTCCTACCGCTGACGCGGATTAGGAGTTTTAGTAGCTACAGCGGCTTTAGAAATCGCCTTTAAAAAGCAAACGACTCTCCACCCCTCCAAACCCTGAATTTTGGGAACTCTCCTGCTTTCCGGAAGGTGCTGGACGGGAAGGGTACTTCCACCCCCCCCTTTCTTTTATCTCACCTCATTTTCAGGGTTAATTGCACATTCAATTACAAACCTTTGAAAGGACTGACTACAGGAAACCTGAATCGCAGTTTGGAGATGGTTATGCAAATGGAGAAGCCTTAGCCTGTGAAAAAGTTCACCGGATTTGGGCGCTGGGGGGTGCGTGGGCTATTGGTGAAAGCCCTTCTCGGAGCGCCGGGGAGGCGGCTTTTCGGCGGGCGCCCTTCGCCCCTCCCTGCGAGGCGGCGGCGGCGGCCGCGGGTCCCCTCCGGGTCGCGGTCTCTCATTCGCGGAGGGCAACTGTTGCGCGCAGCCCCGCGGGCCGCACTGGAGCCGGCGGCGGCGCAGGTACCCCGTTCGCCCTGAGGGTTCGGAAAGAACCACGGATCTAGCTGGCGGCTGGCCAGCGTAACCTAACGGAGGAGAGAGCGGTTCGAGCCCCCGGGGGGCCAAGCCTCCATTCCGAACCTTTCATGGAAATGAGAGTGCGCCTTTGCCTCGCGGTGCTGGTCACCCGGGTGGGGCGGGCAGGGGGCCGGCAGCCAGCAAAGGAAATACTGTAATTTTAACCGGGCGCTTCCAGAGGCTTAGGAAGACGTGGGGGTCATTTTTTGGAAGGGCTATTAATAACCTTGGAGATTAAGTGCAGTCATCAATTACATATAAATTACAAAGGTAATTGAGGGAAGTCGCTGGGCACTTTCCCAGTGTATTCAGCATCCGTCTAGAAATAGAACTCAAGAAATTGCCGGAGCAGCCTAGGAGTCCGCTGCACCTTGGCAGTTATCAAATGACTCGCACACGACTGATTAGAGACTGTTTGCCCTTGAGCTGCTTGTCTTTTTGCGAACTCAAGTATGTCCTCACAGCGGCACGATTTCATTGGTTGTGGAGCCCTGAAAAGCCCGCTTTCTTTCCCCTCTCCCTCCTGCCCCGCCAGAAGTGAAGTGAACCAGCGGCCACTGAAGCTTGGGGGCTCCACAGGTCAGACCTGGGGTCTTTGTGCCCTGCACGGTTTGGGCCTGGGCCCAGCAGAGATGATTGGCGTGAAGGTTACAGTTGTCATTCCCACATTTTGAAGGGATAGAGGCAGCGATGCACTTAATGGGAATGTGACAAGTTTTCGTATTCTGCTCCTGCAAACAATATGTGCCTTTGAGAGGGACTGGAGGCATTCAAGGAGTGGGTTGTGAGATTTGCCCTCCTTGCTTTCTCCAACTTGCTCTGGGCAGGGTCCTCATGGCAGGACACCTTCCCGGCCAGCATCTCAGGAAAAAGGAAGTTTGAAGGGTGCTCAAGGACTCTGCTAGCTGTTCCCTTCGATTGCCCCGGTGGCCAGCAAACACCTGAGCGGTATTTTTGCATATATGTCTATCTGGATATTTCCTCCAAAGATGGGAGAGTTATTAGTGACCAGCAGCAGGAAGTGGAAGCTAATGTGCTCACACCCAAAACATTTTATTCTTTTTGTCTTGTCCTTCATCTCCCTCCCAGGGCTGCTGCTTTTATTTCCCCTTTTGAATGACCTACTGGACTGCATTCTCCTGAGGAACAAAGGAAGTGCCTTTTTAGCTGGAATCCTTGGAAGACCACCAAGGACTTTAGCTCATGCAGTGCAATTTCGCACCACTTTCAACAATAACAAAAATGCATGACTGAATGGCTCAAAAATGTGGAGTGTTAGAGGCATTCATTTGAGTCTAGGACACTGTCACAACACAGACAGACCCAAGTAAATACCTTTAGACGGCCAGTATAGAAACAGGGGGTAATCTTTACCATCACCCTGGCCTGTCCAGATGCATATACATGAGCCTTGTCTTCCCTGAGCTACGCTCAGATAATTTTGGTCATTTTGGGGAGCATAGTCCATACAGTGACTCATGTTCGACCCATGTCTGAATGAATGGCCAGGCACTTTCCCTGGCCGGGGGTCTAAGTGTGTGGTGGTGGTGCTGGTGGAGGGGGGTGGTGTGGGAATGATCTATTTTTTTTTTTCCTATGCAAAAAGTTCAGGATGTTTTTTCAGGCAAAGGGTCATAACACCTGGGTGCCTAGCACCAGGCTTAGCCCAAGTTGAAGGTTTTATTTCTGACAGCCTTGTACTTGCCTTCTAGAGCTTTGAACAGGCTTTAAGAATACTGTTTTTAAGGAGGCTCAGTCTTTTGAGATCATAATTGAGATAATTTTGATGTGCTCTCAAGGGTCTCAGGGAGTACATCATGCCAACAGGGCTCCGGGACCCAGGCGAGGTCCCACATTGCTTATCCGCTTGACCCCCGAACTTATCAAATAATGGGGAGTTCAGAAAGGATCTTGAACACAAAGGATAGGTATTTGTTCAGCTTTCAATGAGTATATCTTTTTGGAGCACCTACTATGTGCAGCATTCTGTGCTGGGCATTGTGGAGGCAACAAGAAGGGCCGGAGGGGCCTCTGGTGCTAGGACCTTTCCAGGCAGTAGGGGAACAAGCCACACATGCAGACTCCGAATGTGACATGGAGTGAGAGAAGTACCATCTGAGTGGCACAGATAAGGAGTAAGGAGCGCCCACAGACTTCCAGCAGAGAAAGGATTTGGGGCCAGATTACCAGCTCGGTAGTGCTAATTCACTAGTAAATTTAAAAATCTAACCATTTTCATTGTGCCTCCCTTCCATAAAGACAGGGTTAGAGAGAGGCAACCGTTGGCATTTAATTTTATTTGTAATTTTTTTAAAAAGTTTTAAGTGATGTTTACCTCCAACATGGGGCTCGAACTCATGACCCTGAGATCAAGGGTCACGTGCTCTACTGACTGAGCCAGTCAGGAGCCTCCTCAGGCATTGGGATTTTATTACTAATCTAATTTTTGCCAAAATGGTCTTTAAGAGTGAGACAGTTGGTTAGGGGTGTTCTTAAGCCTGCCATAGGTCTCTTTCAGAGGGACGTTGAAGGATACCAAGGAGAACTTTGTGCCATGGTGGTGATACTGGTTTTTTTTTTTTTTCCCTGTTCCCATTCATGTTCATGAGCAATGCACTTGCACACATACGCACATGCACATATGTATGCCTCCAACGGTTCGGGGAATGACAAGCTATGTTAGGGTTACGTGGCAGAAAGTGCGTATGCTGGAGAGGTAGGCATCCTTTTTGATGTAGAGTTGCTTACTGCGTGTAAGACACAACATATGTCCTCAAGATTTGCATTTCCTCTTTCCCACTTGAAGTAGGTGGGTTGGATTTTGCAGAGAACTTGTGATCTTCTATTCTGTTGGAATCCTCAGTTTGGTTCCCTTCGTTTTATTTAAGAAAGAGGGTCTAACTGAGCCACAGGACCTGTCAGCATAGAGATCGTCTCAAGTAGTATAGGAACTACTTCCTGGACATGCTCAAAAAAAGACCTTAATAAAAAGTTCTGGCTTATGCAGCTCAATCTCTAGTTAGAACATACAAATATAAAATATTTGATTCAGCATAATTACTATTTTCCTTTTTTATTTGACTCACATTGGGTTGCATGCAATTTCAGGATTAGCCGGAGACTAGACTGAGGAATGAAAAGGAAGTTTCTTGTTGTCTCTACAAGGGAAACAACATCGGCATTAATCTAAATCAGTTGGAAGGGAGTGTCTGGCTCCCCAGGAACGTTAACTGTTTTACCACTGAGATTTTTCCTGCATATGGTCACAAAAAATACATTTTGGCCTCAAGGAAAAGAGCTTGTAGCTATTGGTTGCTTTCTCTGGACCTGGTCCTAAGCTAAGGGCTTTACATATTCTCTCTTTTAAATCCACAACAACCATAAGAAATCAGAAGTATTATTCTCTTCATCATCTTCCCCCATTTTATGAGACGAGGAATCAAAGGGATTAGGAAATAGATTCGCTGGCTCACAGCTGGTTGGTGGTAGAGGTGGGACCTGAATCCAGGTCTTCCTTGGCCCAGAATAGCGGTCCATGCATTGTTGTATAGGTCATAAGACAGAGTGCCTTCCCGAATCCCATGGAGGGCCGGCTTCAAAAATAGAAGCTACGAGAGGACCACTGACCAGCAAAAGACCATCCCAGCCCTATTTTGATGCCGAGGTAGAGAGGGGATCCAGCCCTGTGCTTTGCAGCGAAGTATTAATACCCAGACACAGACAACCTAGTGTTAACAGTAGAAGGAATAGAAATTGTATTTCCTGGGCCGAGGGGAGCCGGTGATGGTTTCGGGGCGGGGGGGAGTGTTCTCAGTGAGACTGTTTCAGGAAGAGAACTGGTGTCCCTGCGTGTTAAGTGTCAGTGAGGCCGGGGGCATAAAGGCAGTGAGAGCTGTTTTAAGTACGCAATTCTCTTTAAAATATGTTTTATTTTAATTCCAGTAGAGCGAACAT